ATAAATTACATCATTGAACTTTCAAACGGCTAAATCAAAACCTTAATTACATTCATCCAAAGATAAAATTACATTCAATATTCCTATAAGCTTCATCCATGGCCCAACCATACATCATCATTCATTCACAATTATTCATACATCATCATGTATCAATATATATCAACATATTAAATCATACATCAACATACATCAATAAAAATATATATGAATATAATTTTGGATCCATGAATGATGATTTTCATAAAATCATGATCTCTAGTAATGAATCAAACCATGCTCTGATACCACTGTTAGGAAACGTGCTAGTTTTAAAAACTTTTCGAGGGATTTAAATTCATAAATCTTGATTCATTACATAGAGACAAGTTTTATGCAAAAATAAAACATGATGTATCATTCAATTAAAAGATTGAATACTTACATCAAGGTTTGAGTAAACCTTAGATCTCTCCTCTAAAGTGAATGTTCTCACTTATTGTAGATTCCTTAGCAAGATGCATTCTTCTTGGATCTCCATCTTCTTGGTAATTGTTTTGCCTTTAGGAATCACTCATATGCCTCCATGAATAACCTTGGAAAACTAGGCTTGTGGGAGTCTCCATTAGATGAGAACATAAACCCTAATTTTCTAGAGAGAGAAAATATATTCCTTTTTCCTTCTACTAAAAATCACACCTAAAATATACATAGATCATGTATATTTATAGGCAACATAAAGGTAAAGAAAAGGAAACAACTAATCCTTCTCAATCTCTAATTCACATGTCTCAAATCTAATATGATTCCAATATCAAGTTGGGTTATGAGTGAGAATCCATTGGGCCTATTATTTTATTGGCTACAATGAATTAATAATTGGCCCGGTTCATGGACCCAATTCAATTAATTCATAAATTAATTTCTACTCCACTAAAAGAAATTAATTGAACTCCAATTAAATAATAAATAACCTCTAAGTCAATATTGCACTTTGACCCCTCTATGCATAATTAGTTATCGGATAAATAAAGCCATCAATCCGACTACTTAATTAATATATTTATTTTGGAACCTTTGATTATTTCTGGCTCGATCACAATAAAACATTTGTTTGACAAAAATAATAATTTAAATAAATAAATATATAATAAATCATTTTGTCTAAAAATACACGAAGGCCTTCGAATTTACTTTGTGATCAACCATAATCAATACAAAATAAATACAAGTAGCAATGATGCAAATATTGAAAATATAACCCTCTAACTATTAATTACATAACTACCCAAAGTGTCGGTCGAATGATCCCGAAGAATCCGCCGAACAAATCAAAGTAATTATTAATTAATAAAAGAGTCTATAATTTTCTCATACTTAAGAGTCAAATGCCATGACGGTGATAGGGAGTAATTGCATACGACGGCTCTCGCAATATATCTCAACCTAACGCGGATCCAGTTCAAGTCTTAATTAATTATGAGTCCATCCATAATTACCGACTATGAACAATTTATAATTACTATTTATATATCAAGCATTGATTGCCATCACATACATATATATAAATATTTCTGGTAATTACATGGACACTATCAATTTCATAGTGAATCGAAACATAATACATTGAATTCACCAATTATATAAATCATAAATATTTCAGATATGTCAGGAACATATGTCATTATAATCCAGATAGGAATTTGCTATGCCAGGGCATATAAATCCCAACATTAACCTCAATAGAAAATCTATACAAACAAGGAGATGCCTCTATCAGGGAAATGCAAGGAAGGAGGCAATTGATAAGAAATGAATCCACTTTCAATCTCAATTGCTTTAGATTCCTTAATTTAGGAAATTTGGGGAAGTCATCAAATGCCTGAAGAGTCCAACCAAGAGTAATAACAAAAATGTGTCAGAAAACCATGAAGAGAAGGCATACAAACATAAAAGAGAGGTGGATACTAACCTGATGCTTCAAGTGCAATTCAAGTGTCTGCAGCTGAGAGATATAGCTAGACAGCTGAAAAAAATTATGGAGTGTAAATGTGCCACGGTCACTCGCCAGCGATAGTTTAGAAAGATCACATGGACTCTTGAAACACAAGTTTATTTTGGGACCTGAATATTCAAATGACACAAGATTTTTTGCAGATATCTCAATGTTTTCCAAATGCCAACAGTAAACTATTTTCAAATGCTTTAGTGATTGACCACAAACTTCTAGATTTACTAGACATAACGAGCTATTAACAGATAATTCTTCAAGAAATGGACAGCTCGACAAGAAGCGTTCAAGACATTCTTCAGTCACTTCTACACAAGTAAAACGAATTGCAGTTAGGAATTCGAGGCTTGAAAAATCCAGTGACCGCATAGATAAACAATATCTAAAGCACCAGTTGAATATGTCCACAACTCTTTCCATCTACTTGAGAGTAGACTAGTTTTTGCTGCCTCTTTCATTGTCAAGAGACACAGGATGCAAACCTAGCCGCCGCCATAGAATACACACGAAGATGCACATAATATCAAGCTCTTTAGAGGCTAAGTCAAGGTACTAGAAGGATGACGCAAAGGTATTCACACCCTCGAAATCACTGAAGTCTTCGATTGATCTATCAACCTTCTTTCAGCACCTCTCACCCTAGTTTACTATGTTGCATCTATCAATTCTCTCTCGTGAGTCATGATCTTTGTAAAGACCCGTAAATATATAAATATAAATATAAATATAAATATTATTACCATTAATTGTGTAAATATATAAATATAAATATTATTACCATTAATTGGTTATTTAATTTTATTTCTATTAAATATATATTAATATTTATGTTAGTTAATTTTATATTGATTAATTATATATATATTTCTATATATATACCTGTGTGTGTATCCGTGCCTTGATATTTATTATATGTTGGTGGTAGTACATAAAGTAAATAAGGAGAATAAAATGGTTCGAATGGTTACATACGAAAACGTGCCAAGAGTTATGGTCAAAAGAAAATATTGGAATAATAATATTAATAAAGTAATTATATGAAAGTAATGATATAAAAGCTATAGGTCACATGACTATTTGGGTAAGGATTAGGTGATGAAAACGCAGTGGACTACATAAGCTATCAGGAAATTGAAAATCAATTATATATAACCGTACCAATAAAAACGTCAGAAAAGAAAAAAAAAAAAAAACGGTGGTAGTTTGGTAAAGGTGGTGGAAAGAGATAATAGTGAAGGTGACTTTGGTGGAAGCCAGTGGATGTGAGTTTGGTGGTAGTGAAAGGTAGTGGAGTTGGTGGTGATAGTGGTGGAAGGAGGTGACAATGGTGGTGGAAGGCAGTAACGGTGGCTGTGGCTAGTCAAAACTTTATGTCTATTTTTTGATAGCTAGTCAAAGCTTTATACCAAGTCGGAGGGGAGCCGCACGATGCACTGTCACTCTAGAGCAAAGATGATTATTATTATTATAAGGGCAAATTGCATAAACACCCATTTAGTTTTAATTTTTGGTAGAAAATCCACTAAAAAAATGGTTATAAAACCCCTCTAAGAATTTTGGTTATTGCAATACTACCCCTGCAATTAGAAAATTTATTTTTTAGGACGAAATAGCCCCTCCCAACTATTTAAAGCTTCTTTTTTTTTTTTTTTTTCCCTTAATAATTGAAACAAGGTCACTTTAAACTATATGTATATTTTAAAACCTTCAAATGCAATTAGATAGACATAAATGCATTTGAAGGTTTTCTTTTTCTTAATAATTGAAACAAGGCCACTTTAAACTTAACACTTTAAATGCAATTAGCTAGTACATAAATGAATTTGAAGGGCTTTTTTTTTTTTTTTTTTTTTTTTTTCTCTTAATAATTGAAACAAGGTCAATTCAAACTTTTTTTTTTTTTTTTTCTTAATAATTGAAAAAATGTCACTTTAAACTATTTGCATATATAATTTTTAAGTAGTAATACTCACACTGAACACTTGCAGTGAATTGCCTAACCGAATAATTTTTAATTAGCTATTTATACCAAATACAACTAAGTAGAGGGCTCCACTTCCTTATTTGTTGCATAATTGACCAATTAAAAAAATAAGTCTTGCAATTCACTGCAACTATTCGGTGCAAAAATTATTTTCCATACTTTTTTTGTATAAATTTTTTTTATTTTTTTTTTTTTTGAATGCAAGTAACCACATTTATAATCTAAAGCATATTTAGAAAATTAATTATAACATTTTCAAAAATCAAACAATAAGTGGCTTACATAAGGGTTGGGAGGAGGGGCAACTTCGACCCAGAAAAGGATTTTTCTAACTGAGTAGGCAGTGTTGCAGCTTGCAACAACCAAAATTCTTAGGGAGTTTTATGACAACTTTTTTTTGTAGGTGTTTTTTTGGCCAAAAATTGAAACTAGAAAGAGGATGGGGGTGGCTGGTTAGTAGTTAAACATTTTGCCCTCATATTCTCCACCAAGATCCGAGAAAGGAAGAACTACCTTTCTACATACTCAGACTCCCTACTCCCAGGATAGTAAATTGAAAGAGATTCAATTGCTCGGAAGCTCAAGGAAAGTTTAGAAGAAAATATTGGAAATTTTGCACAGGTCTTAACTTAGGTGATCTCTCTTCAAGGATGAGGGTTCCAAGTCTCACTTTGTGAATTGCTTACCTAGTTACCTATATAAAAGAAAATTGTTTTTGTGAGCATCTAATCTACACAATCAGATATGTTAAACTCTATTACATATGAACTGTACAAAAATTCTCATCATTTATTAACTATACAAAATCACAACAGTTAAATGCTAGCACTGCATTCTTCCACTTGCTAAACAGACGCCTGTCCTCTGTTTTATACACAAAAACATTGTATCATTACAATCTTTAATGAAATTTTACATACAAAAGTTCTCAATCTATAATTAAATCTTATAAAGCACAACCCTAATGCAACTATCTCGACTTTAATGACATGAACAGCCTCCACAAAATCACTAGATCAATATACTTCATAGTATAATTAGTTCAACCCCTGGAGGCAATTTTGTTTGCAGCTCCATAGCACACATTTTCGCTTCTACTTGACCCTCAAATTCCTTCCTTTGGGGTCTTATATATTCGGGGGGTAACTTATATGGTTGGCAAGTATCAATAGTAATCTTATGTAGCGACACAACATTTTCAAGTAAGTACATGGCAAACTCAACATCAATCTCACGGCCAGCAAATCCAATGAATTCGACCACCTTGGGACATTTAAGCAGACATTTATGCAGACATTTCTCCGGCGTTTCAACAAACTTTTCTTGCAAAAGCTCACTATACGAACCAAAAACCTGCCATGAGAAAAAAACATAGTTAACACATGTTTGTTAACAGGAAGAAGGATTAATATTCCAACTCCATTAATAATAGAAGAATCCTAATTCTTGCACAAGACTTGAATTAAATTGTTGATCTATTATGATGTTCAACAAACTGGGAGAGAGGCCACATACAAAAAACAACCTAAGGAACCTACTACACGTAAGAGGCAAGGGCCCAGACCGAACCAAAGGGAACAAAAGAAACAACTAACCTTAGCCAATGCCTATCTTCAACCACTCACATGACATCTTCACACAAACCACAATATGCCACATTCTTGTAGCTTTTTTTTCCCAGTAGATTGCGAAAGGGCCATGGTTATCTTCTCTGTATCATTCCAATTGATGTCCCTAAAGGGACAACATTCTTGCACCTTTACCTCTTACATAAACCCACAATATGTACTCTTACGGCTTTACGGCTTTACTTGTAGCACACTTTACTGGAATAGTTTCCAAAACGCAGTGGACAGACATGGTTTCACAAGAAATGTAATGCACTCGAATGCCACATAAATCATGACAGTTTCAACTTCTCCATGAAACTCCAAACATGTCAAGTCCTATGGCAAACACAGTAACTGACTACTGTTAAAACTAACTTCAATAAACAGGCATAGGAATATGACTATCTTCATCACCATGAACCCTGAGGCCAAATCAACACTATTTAAAGCTGCAAGGCTGCTTATCCTAATCAAGCACTGTAGACAAAATGATTAAACAATAGCACAGTGACAAATCTTCTTAAGGCCTGAATGTGAATTCCTCTGACTGTGCAAGAAGTCTTCTTCACAACTAGAGAGCAGTTATTGAATGAGCCTCGAGGTAATGCCAGTCAACTCTAGGAATACCTGTCAGTGTAGTAAAATTCGTAGATGTATCCTAGTGGTTGATATCTTGGCTTCTCTTAGAGAGAGACCTAATGGAACTCTTGAATTCGGAAAGCCCCTAATTATGTGACGATATAATAACAGCAACACTTCTCACTATGTGGTCACCTACCATAAGACTAACCTATTACCACAACAGATAACTAACTGCAAAAAGACCTGACTACCTCAGCATTGTCCCAGAGCTGTATTGGCAGCCTGGAAACCTTGCTGAGTACCATACCGCATCACAGCATCGTCTACCCACTAAACGCAATAAAATCTCATTTGGACCCTGATATGAATGTGTGCAATATCCCCGTAATGAAACCTCATTGACATGAGCACCAGTTTCCCTTGTAGAAACTATGAACATACCTCTACCCACCTCACATTACAATATAGGAGACACTCGGGCACATTTAATACAAAGCCGTTTTCCAAGAGCTCTATGAGCATCTACGTAGACCTATGCCTCTTTAAAACTTATACAAGTTTCAAAGACCAAAAGCAATCCTTAAGAATCCTTGCTTATTTCATTATTGCTACCCACTTAGCTATCATTTGATAACCCAACTCAACACTTATTTTTGAATGGATTAAGTGTTTATTCAATTAAGTGTGATGACATATTCAAAATCCCTATGTTAATTGACAATGACATTGAACGTTGAATTTTGAAGACTTAAAATTCAAATATATATATATATATATATATATATATATATATATAATCTCAATTCATAATTATCGCTTAAAACTTCCGCACTTAAAATTCTGCACCCTACTCTTAAAATTCAAAAATATATTTCAGTTTTATCAAACAGCACCTTACTCTCATAAGTAGCGTAGTCCACAAAGGACTATTGTCTTATGTATAATACCTCTAACTTCAATTCCATCTGATTCAGAGTAAGCGGAAGAGGTCTTTCTTCAAACAGTTGAAAATGCTAAGAAAACTGGACTGAAAATTGCATTATTAAGGGAAACAATGTTTATTGGTTTTAAGTCATTTAGTAAAGCCGTAAATCTGACTTAATTTTCTGTTTAATGTTTATCTTAAGCTCTAGTTGGAATATTTTTGTCATTATGCATCTATTTAGTTAGTCATGTGCCTTCTACCTCTCCCTTTCTTTTGGAATTGAGTGGTGAGTGTTTAAGTTGTACTTTAGCTTGATCTAGCTCTCTATTTTTCCTTCTTACAAATTTTCTTTTTCTTTCATAAGCTGATTGCATCACCATCTAAGAACAAATGTAACGTATTCCCTTTATATTAGCATCTAGTGCACATCACACATCGGTAATCATCAATTCACAAGTGCGAGGCAAAGAAATAATGAATTTTTTCACCAACTTTCCTAAAGAAGAGAGATAGAGAGAGATGCAGATTAATATTGGACATCAAAAGAATAAAAATTGGAAGGCAATGTAGGAATAGTGTGTTCTCATAAATTTTTTATTTTATTTATAAATTTATTTATTTTGTTGCTAGAAAGATAGATTTAATCCATCATGGTTAGTTTATATGTTGAAAAAGATCCTGCTATTAAGTAAAATCAGAAGCACGCAGCCTGATTGACCAAACAGACCTTCTACCATGGCTGATGCTAAGCCTAAGCTACAAAATTAATGAGAGCAAACTAGATGCGCCATTGTTCTCAAATTCTTACGATATTCGATAAACTACATAAGACATGAATCTTATATATTATCTCTCAAATTATGTAAAGCAAAAGCATACATATTCAGAGTAAAAAGAAAAAAAAGAAAAAGAAAAAGAGGATGTAATATGAATGCTATAACAAGTTAACATTACTTCTTGTAAACTGGAAAGTAAGAGCATTAACCTCAATAGAAAATCTATACAAACAAGGAGATGCCTCTATCAGGGAAATGCAAGGAAGGAAGCTAAGAAATGCTTTCACTCTCAATCTTAATTGCTTTAGATTCCTTAATTTAGGAAATTTGGGGAAGTCATCAAATGCCTGAAGAGTCCAACCAAGAGTAATAACAAAAATGTGTCAGAAACCCATGAAGAGAAGGCATACAAACACAAAAGAGAGGTAGATACTAACCTGATGCGTCAAGTGCAATTCAAGTGTCTGCAGCTGAGAGATATAGCTAGATAGCTGAAACAGCTGAGAGATATAGCAAGACAGCTGAAACAATTTATGGAGTGTAAATGGGCCAGGTTCAATATGCAGCGATAGTTTAGAAAGATCGCATGGACTCTTGAAACACAAGTTTATTTTGGGACCAGAATATTCAAATGACACAAGATTTTTTGCAGATATCTCAATGTTTTCCAAATGCCAACAGTAAACTATTTTCAAATGCTTTAGTGATTGACCACAAACTTCTAGATTTACTAGACATAACGAGCTATTAACAGATAATTCTTCAAGAAATGGACAGCTCGACAAGAAGCGTTCAAGACATTCTTCAGTCACTTCTACACAAGTAAAACGAATTGCAGTTAGGAATTCGAGGCTTGAAAAATCCAGTGACCGCATAGATAAACAATAACGCCCTTTTGGGCTATTCATCGAAAATAATTGTGCAAAATTCAACTCAAGCCTTTTAACTCTCTTATGCAATGCAAAGTGAACCCAATTATCAATATCAGATGTGAAACTAGAATCCAAATCAAAATGAACTCGGAGGTCATCAATGGTTGCACCCTTGTGTGAGTTCAAGACCCCATTCACCAAACTCGCGTAGTTAGACCTCTCCACTTAACAGCTCCGGATTTTCTTTAACTTTCCGCAACACCTTCAAAGCATCAAAATCTAAAGCACCAGTTGAATATGTCCACAACTCTTTCCATCTACTTGAGAGTAGACTAGTTCTTGCTGCCTCTTTCATTGTCAAGTGGGACAGGATGCGAATAAGAATGTCATTGGGTAATTGACTGATCCCATCTTCCAAATTATTAATCCTCTTTTTACACTGATTATTGCATATAGGCACAGTCAGTGGGAGTGAGGAGAATCAGTATAAAACAAAACAAGCAGGCACACCCACAAATACGCGCACACATGTATAATCAAACAATAATTCACAACAAAACGAAGAAATTGAGAATAAAAATGAAATATATATAATACCTTCGCAAATGCAAATTTGGAGTCCAGTCCTCTTTTTTTCATTTTATAAGCTGTACAAGTAAAAGAGGCAAAAACAATAACCCTTTGGCAAGTATTGAACTTTGAAACAAATAGGCAATAACCCCCCTTAGCAAGTATTGAACTTTGAAACAAATTGGAATTCCCGCAGACGAATATACGACAGGAGAAGCGATAATGAATCGTAGTAATTTCTTAAGTGTGTGTGTATATATATATAATCAGATCTATATTGAAATCCCCTTTAAATCCTAATGGTGTTTGGAATGCTGGTGTTTGGATTTGGATCTGAATTTGGAAACAAAAATTACCTTCAAACCTTTACACAAGTGATAGATTCTCGGACTTTAATTACCGATTAGAATTTTTTTTAAGAGTTTTAAAGGGATCCAATCACGTTGTATTTATACAAAGAGTCGACAATTAATGTCGTCCGAAGGCCTATCATTTTTTTTTTTACTAAAATCGATATAAAATGGAACTTTCATTCATACCCTTGATAAATTACATAGGTCTATTTCTATGAAATTAATTATTTTATGGTATGGACTATTAATTCTGGTCAATTATGAATTGACACAAAATATACACATTTGTTAATATATTGATTTGGGACGATACAATTATTTATCTGAGGCTTATCTCATGAATCATGATACTTTTTCATTAACTCTTTTTTTAATTAAGCATATTTTGGGAACAAATGGCATGAAACCTCTTCTATTATCAAATTTTTGGCACAAATTCCCTGCATTTCCTTTTTTAATAGGATATCCTTTAACTATTCAATTTGTTGCAAATTAATATTAGGATGACAAAAATTCTCCTTAATTTAAATTTAAGAATATAGTGCCCCTTAATATAAATTAAAATTAGTATAGATAATCCATTCCAAGTAGGAGAAGTCACGTGTGTTTGGATATATATATATATATAATCATATCTAAATTGAGATCTGATTCCATTTAAATCCCTGTAAATCTTCCCTTCTTACCTTACTAAATTATATATATAATTAAAATTTTATTAATACTCTTACTAAATTACAAATGGTGTTACCTTAGTGACACTTGTCGGCTCTCTTTTAAATTAGCATATTTTGGGGGATATGTATTCTTTCCTTGGGATATCTCTCTCCTGCTCTCTCCAAAACTAATCTGAAAGTCATTTGTCATATCTCCCCCTTTTATTTATTTATTTATTTTTCTCTCTCTCTAAATGTTCGCACCCACAACCTACTCTTTCTCTCAAATCGTGAACTTTCTATCTTCGACCTGAACCCAACCACACAACTTTATTGCCCTAAAAGTGTTACAACTCATTGCCTTACTTGAACGGGTTCAACTAAGGCAGTAGTCAAAGTCCAACCCATCACTCTAGTTGACTTGGTTCAAAGTTCTTGAACTAGTTCAGACATGTCAGTAGCTTAGACTCCACCTCGAATAAGCTAAGATCTCTTCGTAACTCTACCTCAAACTCTTCATAGCTCCTCCTCAAATAAAGTACTATGATATTATTTTCATAAAGCACTATGGAAAGTGAAAGAGAAAGAGAGGGAAAGTGAATGGGAAAGAAAGTGATATCAAGTTTCCATCATGCATTTGGTTAGTAAGAATTTTTTTCAACAAAGTTGTGAAAAAAATACTATTTTGTAAGTTTGGAAAGCATGAAAGTAAAAAGAAAGTGATTGCAGTTACCAAAACTATCCTTTTAGTTATAAGATTACTTTGTACTCTTTTGAAACATGGCTTTATCTTCTGAATTATGAACAAAATTAAAATTTTAATTTCAAAATAAAATAATGAATATGATATTTAATAATTTTATATATGTGATTATAGGTACAAGTTTAATTAATAAAAAATTTTGTTCCGAAAAATATGTAGGAAAAAAAATTGAAGTTAATATATATACTTTTAGTCATAGAACAAAAAGTTGAGCCTAAACGAAATACAATACTTCAACTACATTAGTTTGATACATCTAATATATGTAGAATTAAAATTAAATTAGTTTGGTACATCTAATTACTTAGAGTCCTAAAACCGAGAGAAGTTTATGTATAAAAAATTACATGTATGAATTAAATTGTAAATTGTATGCGTAGAGACACTAATCCTAATTTTTCACCCAACACTCTACTTAGATTTATATATAATAAAATTTTAATTTTGTATGCGTGTATAAAACTATACAATTAAAATAGTATTACATTATTATATAAGTAATTTACAATAGAAGTGAACTGACCTATTAACGAAGTTTGTAGAGAAAGTGGCGTTGGCATAATAAGAAACTAAGATACGAAGGCGTCACTTTTAGGGAAAGTAAAATTTTCCTTTTTTTTTTTTGCGAAAAACATTTTGATAAAAATTAAGCGGTTGCGAAAAATTTACTTCGTAAAAATTATCTCTTTCACGTTAACCAAACTCTTAATAAATTTAATTTAAAAAATTTGTGTTTCTTTTCCTTTCTATCTACTTCATGCTATCCAAATGAACCTTATTGTTTGCCGTGGATGGGAAGCAAATCCACAATCGGTTTTAGACAGGTGTGAAGTGCAATTTGGGAACGCACAGATGTCAAAATTAGAATCAGTGTCCAAACATGAATATTTTATATATATGATTAAACTTGTAAACCTAACCATTTTTGAACGCACACTTTTTTTTTTTTTTTAATTAAATAGGAAATTAAGACTCCGTTTGGATTGAATGATTTAGATTTTAGAGGGATTGGAAAGAAAAGAAAAGAGGGTGTGAGGTGTGTTATGGTTGTCTTAGGATAGAAAAGATAGGATTTGGAGAGATTTGTCCATCATTTATTATCCTTTAAAAAATAGAAAGATTTGAAGAAAATGATAGTGGTTAAGTATTTTCATAATCTCCAAACTACTTTCAACGATTAAATTACTTTTTTTTCTTTACTCAACCTTTTCTAAATAAGAATAGAGTAATGAGAGGCAACAATAGAGTAATGAGAGGCAACGGAGAAAACTTGAAAATTTCCCAAATCTGATTATTTTATTTTATTTTTTTATTTTTTTTCCTCCCCTTACAAAAGGAAATTAAAAACTCTTCAAAATTGGATAGAGATAGCAAAAGAAATCGAAAATTACTTGTTCTCATGTTCCATAAATTTAAATTTACAAAGTAAAAATTCATAGAACTTTACAAATACAATATTATTTAACTCTGTATAAACCAAATATTTATTATTTTAAAATTTATATTACGAACTTTTAAATTTATAATTTATTCATCCTATTAAAGTTTTACATGTATTTGTTTTTTAGAGAAAAAGTAAGGGTCCGAAAGTAATTTTACAAAAAGTAACTTGAGGAGAAGTGTTGTATATTTTTAATTTTGAAGAGTTGTTATATTTCTGTTTGTGAGGGAAAGAGAAACCACCATGTTTTTTTTTTTTTTTTTTTTTTTTTTTAATGTGTAAAAGGGGATTCTTTCTTTTTTTAATTCCATGGCTTAACCAAATCAAATTCCGGGAATTTTCATTCCAATTGTTTATCATTACTTGTAAGGATATTATCATTTCTTTTTCTTCACATTTTATTCAAAAATGAAGAAATTATTGTTATCAATTTTTTTTTATCTTTTCTCTGATCTTTTATTTTCGCTTACCACTCTTTATTTTCTCTCCCTTATCCAAACTAAACAGCGCACAGTGACACAGGAACAGGAAGCCTAATGACGATTACATTACAATTGAAACTTCGATGGTATGTACCCAATGGACTTGACGATCTATAGAAACTTTAGCTCTTCTAGTGATTTGTACCTCCAATAGATGACCTCATTCTAAAAATCGAGTGTTGAATCAAATTGTGCTTTGTTGCTTTTGCATTTCTATAAATTTTAATTTGTTATAACCTGATTATTCTTGTATTTTTAAAAAATTAATATATCGAATGTTGGCATTTAGTTGTTGAAGTTTTGCCTATGCCTAATTTACCCACAAAAACGTTTCCCCGCGATACCTATATTACTACTTCAACAACACTTTCAAAGCTCCTATTTCGCTTTAAAAAAAAAAAATTTGCTTCTTTAATACTTCATGCCACCAATCAATTACACATTAAGAAAAATGTTAAATAAGCTGGTATAAGGTGGCGCAATTACGCCTTTTTTCCTATTTCACAGCAGCAAACTCCATAGCTTTTCTGTAGGTGCGAAAAGTCTGTTGACTAAAATAGTCAACTAAATTTTTTACAATAAATCGGACATATCGAATTATTATTATTTTTTCTTCTTTTTTTTTTAAATATGTGTATCGGTCCCATAATGCATGCACTCAGGAGGAGACACATTCAATTAATTTTATGTGAGTAACATCCGGCTAATAATATATAAGTAAGGATTGGTGTCGTAACGAGAATATATATATATTGGATGATATCAGCCCTAATTGAGTCCTCTTACGACTCTTTTTCATCTTGCTCTTAAGTTCCATTTTTATCCTACCGATGGGCTGATTCCCATGTTTATTTGACCCATTGCTTTGGGCCGATACAAGTAAAAACCCTAGTATTTGAAAACTGTAGAAAATATTTTTTTTGTACAAAATAATATGAAAGGTTAAGTCAGGATGGAAGTACATTCTCCAACATCCCACCTAACCCCAAAATTAGGTAGTGACCTTTTCAAATTTTTTTTTTTTTTAATAAGTTTTGTAATATGTTTTTCTTTTCAGGGTAATCCAAGTTTCAAACGAATTCCTGAATTTACCAAGCTCTTGACATTGAAAGTTGTAGCAGATCAAACTGCAAACCTTCTCTGTTGGGCATCACTTTTTAATTTTTATGTTGTGTGCGCAAAGAGTTAGGTGTGCCTGTTTATATCCATATGTGTATATATATATATAAGTAATCCTTCATTTAAAATTTATTCCATTTTTAAGTGCATTTTTTTTTTTTCTCTTTTAAGGATCTAAATTTGGTATTGAATTGGTTAATTGAGTTGATATATAGTGATGGATGTATAATATATATATACTGCGGATATGAGAAG